GAACGACAAAAGCGCGCCTGACTAAACCGCGGTGACAAAACCGTGCCGACGAATGAGCGACAACAGCGCGCCGACAGAAGCGTGATTTAAGTTAAGGTAAGTTTTAGGGTTAGGTTTAGGGTTATTTTTAGGGTTAGGTTACAGCACGCTTCTGTCGGCGCGCTGTTGTCGCTCATTCGTCGGCACGGTTTTGTCACCGCGGTTTAGTCAGGCGCGCTTTTGTCGTTCGCGCATTTGTGGTGGAACCAATGGGGAGGTGTTTTAGTCATTTTGTTCTCCTGTAGAGCACCAAGGACTCATTTCAACCCAGAGCTATAAATAATCTTCTTTATCAATATTTGTGAAATCCTGAGCTACCTTGGGAAGCTTGGTGAACTCAATAAAATGCTACCTTCAATATTTTACCTTTAGCAAAGTACTTTATGTTATTAGACTAGGAGAAGCCTGGTTTTTACCCTTATAATAAACACACCGTGCCTACATTCTAGTCAAACAGGTTCTTAATCCATTTTTTGGACTAGTAATCAAACAGCTTGGATAGTTCTCAGCACCTTCCAGGTGTACTTTTAAGAAAAAAAAAAGAGATTGTTTAGCATATTGCTCCTCCATTATAATTGGTCTTTCTATTTTTTTGGGACACATTCTTCTCTCTCTAAAAGTATTCCTGAGCTTATGACTGGTCACTTAGCAACCATTCAAAGTTACAACAGGGCCGCCGTACACAGAATGTGACTCTTCCCTCCCCCCTGCCCCAGAATTTCCAAGGCGTTCTCTTCTAGGATGTCCTGCTCAATCTAGGGCCGTGAGGATGAGCCTACTGCATGCGTGTCTTTGAGGGCATGTAAGCCATTGGTCAGCTGCATTTTTGGCCTTCGAAGAGCCTCCGGAGGGCTGGGGGAGGCTGTTTTCACCCTCCCCAGGCTTCAGGAAAGCCTCCGGAGCCTGGAAAGGGTGAAAAATGGCCCTACCAGAAGTTCAGAAACTATCCATTTCTGGTTTCCACAGGGCTGCCAGTGGAGGCTGTTTTCGCCCTCCCCAGGCTTCAGGAAAGCCTCCGGAGCCTGGAAAGGGTGAAAAATGGCCCTACCAGAAGTTCAGAAACTATCCATTTCTGGTTTCCACAGGGCTGCCAGTGGAGGCTGTTTTCGCCCTCCCCAGGCTTCAGGAAAGCCTCCAAAGCCTGGGGAGGGCAAAGAACAGGCCTACCGGAAGTTTGGAAATGGGCCACTTCCTGGGGGGGAGGCTGTTTTCGCACTCCCCAGGCCTTGGAAAAGTGTCTGAAGCCTGGGGGGAACAAAAAACGGGCCTACCAGACATACTGGAAGGCCAGAAACGGTCTGTTTTCAGTTTCTGGGGTGCTGTGGGAGGACGTTTTTGCCCCATCCAGGCTTCAGGAGGAAGGGAGGGCGTGCGCATGTGCAGGGGGACAGCAGGGGAATTGTGCACCCTTACATGGGGGGGAGTCGTGTGTGCATGTGCGGGGGGCATACGGGGGGAATCGAATTATGGGTGTGGGCATGCACATGCGCGCTATCGTACGCACTTCTAGCACCCGAGCCAAAAAATGTTAGCCATCACTTATCTAGGGTCTTGTATAGAGTCTCTTGCTTGGACAGGGAGATGGTTGAACTAGAGGACCTCTAAGGTCCCTCCCAGCTTTGTTATTCTGTTAGCTCAAACTGACTCTTCCAATGAAAATGTTCTATTCTGACCCCATGCCTAATGTTGAGAAGAAAAGGAGGAAATTTTTCTATTTTGATCATACTGTTTTCCTTCTTCTGACTTGCTTCTTAATACTGCTTTCACATAGCAATTGCCAAAAGCATTGCAGAAAAGAAGGAGAAAGGTAGACAGAGACTAACCCAGAGTCTTGTTCTAGGACTAAATGGACTCTACCTTTTCTCTTCCCCAGGACACATAATTTTGGAGGAACGAGATCAGATTTTTCTCTGCAGTTTTGATGTATAGAGAAATGTAAATGACATTTGTAAGCCATTTTGGTAGCAGTTGTGTTCTGACCCCCCTCGTCCCACACCAACAGACACTCCGAGCCAAAGATAAGTTACGGCATTTAATTAACAGACAGACAAGTCCTTGGCAGCAAACCGGCACGGATAAGCCATGGCAGCAATCCAGCCTGCCAAGCTCACAACCATGTTCTCCGACATTCGTTCCCGCATTGACTT